AGTTTGAAGTAGAGGCCATTGATGACTTTGATTATCGATGTAACTCTTCCCAAATTGACTCAAGAGGCGATTAAACCTTCAAATAAGTTAGGCTTTGATGCCAATTGTTGAGTTAATCGATTGACAAATATGGCCAAGAGGGGGTGAATTGGCAATTAAAATTTTGGTGGAAGCTTTTGCAGAAAATTGAAAGAAATTTGCACAGCGATTTAGAGTGTTCGACTTTCTCAACTAAAGTCTAGTCCACTACCTTAGCTATCCACACTAAGGATTTTCCATAAATTCACTAATTTGTCTTTCTTTTGAGGACAAAGAGTAACCTTACAAACCCTCAAGAATTATACCCCAAATTCTTGAGAACACTCTCTCCCAAAGAGAACAATACAAATTTGCAAACTTACAAGGAAATCCTCACAAGGTAGATTATTTGCACAATTCTAGAACAAAGAAAAGAACACTCAAGAATGAATACAATTGAGCACAATAAGTGTTCTTGAAAGCAAAAGAATATTGAATGAAATATAGGCTTGAAATGCTCAAACTTGAGGTTTGATGCTTTCTCTTTGATTCTCTCTTGATTCTAGTTGCTTTATGTTTCTTATTTTGATCAATGGCTTCTAAGCTTGCTTAAATACACCTTGAATCACTTCTGAACATTGGGGATGATTAGTGAATATAATATAGCCGTTTTAGTGTGAAATCAATTAATAAAACAGCTTGGAGCGTGGGGGGAATCGGTACCCCATAAGGGGAATCGGTTCCCTAAGTGTAAAATTCAAATATTTCGACCATTGAACAGTGGGGGGAATCGGTAACCCCTGGGGGGAATCGGTTCCCTCCGAGCATACTGGAATTCTAGGAGCCAAACCATTCAGGGGGAATCGGTTCCCTCTGAGAAATATGGAATTTTTGGCTTTGAGATGGTTCGAAATATTTTGTAAAATCGTTTTGAAATTATTTTAAGATTAAAACTTAATTTTACACTTGAGTAAGGATTAAAAATGACATTTGAAAGATTTGGAGTAATATTTTGATATTCGAATAATTATATCGAATATACTTAGAAAATCTTTTTAGAAAATCTTAAAATTCATTAACTTAATTATATCGAATCGAAATATCATCTTTTTGGAAAATCAACAATCTCCCCTTCATTTAACTTAATTTGTTATATCGAAATATCAAAATGTTTTCAACAATCTCCCCCTTTTTGATATAACAAAACATTTTAGTAATTTTAAGATTTTGAAATCAAGTTTTGAAATAACTCCCCCTTACTCTAACACACTCCCCCTTACTCTAACACTTCTCCTCTTCAAAAACTCTTCAAAAAGCTTTTAATAACATTTCTCCCCCTTTTTGTTAAATCAAAAAGACCTGTAAAAGATTTTAAACAAGGTTTTTAAAATCATTTAACCAATTGATTATATATAGTTTAAGTTGCTAAGATCACAATCAAGAGAAACGTTAGCCATTAGTTTCATAATCAATATTCATAATTAATGTGACATGGAAAAATTGGTCATATTGCTAAAATGATGTAAATGATGCAATAAATTAACTAAACCAAATATTCAAACATCAAAACAAATCCAAAGTTTAACAATCCACAAAAATCAAACATTCCAAAATATTCAAAATGTTGAAACAATAAGCTTTAAGTTCAAAGTACTAAAGCAAAACAAAGAATCAAACATCCGTAGGAGGATCGGGAGGAGGAAAACGAGCTCGTATAGAGGCCATCTTATGAGTGAGTTCATTAATACGAGCGTTGGTTACTTCATTGTTTGCACGCATCTCCTGAAGAATTTCCAATTGTTGAGCTCCTATTGTGGATAAATGGGACTCTATAGAAGTAAAGCGCGAATCTATTGTAGCATATCGGAAATCGAATGTCTCCATAAAAGATTGAAAATATGGAGGCATTTGATTCGTTTGTTGTGCTTGCTCCTCGGGCTGCTCAGGCTCATCTTCGGCTTCATCGATGTCTCGCAATAATTATTCAAGCTCGGGATCGTCGTCAACTTCTGGTGGAGCTCGTGAAGAACTAGCTCCCGGAGTATTTTCAAAAGATCGAACCCATTCACCGGTTTCCTTATCCTTTATCCATCCCACTCTCGTTAAGGAAAGAAGATTAATTTGTTTCTTTAAAGGAAAGACGACATCTATACCTACTCTAAGCCCGACTTTAGAAAATATATTACTTAGACTTAATTAATATAATTTATACATTGTTATAATATAAATATTTACATATCCATATCACACCAAATAACATATAACCTCTATGAATCTATCCATGTGTTCATCCATACATAATAGTCATGTCAATCACATATACTAACATTCATATATATATGCAATCAAATATTAAAATTAGACTCATCGCGAGTCTTATTTCTATACGCATCATTTACAACTAGTATGCACTCACCTTGACACTTTATATATCCAAATCCTCTTCTATGATATATCTCTTTGGATTGATCCTAACTTTGTAGTCGTTTCAGAACTTGCTTGTGCTCGATATCTACACAATCATACATTTTTAAGATAATTATTAGATATCTACACCTTGTAATTTGATTCCAATAACTTAAACGAATTTAATATACCCATATTCACTTTTTCCTTTAGGGGGTATCGATACACTCCTTAAGGTATCGGTACCCTTATTGCATTCTGGGATTTTTTGTTCAAGAGGGTATCGGTACACATACATAGGGTACCGATAAATTCTGCCCAAAACATAATTTTTCACCCCGAAAATTCATCATTTTCAACTTAAATTCTTCATGTTTCATTCCCTTTTCTATTCTTAACTCAAGTACATATACTTAAACTAATTTCTACTCATTCAATACATCCTTAACCTCAAAATTCCATCTTTCATATGGAAATCAATAATCATACCAAATTTTCAAGATGCTCTAAATCCAATTCTATCACTTCATATCTCTTAATTAAGTTGATGACAAGTAAAATTTAGTTTCAAATTTAACTTATCAACTCTTTTCCAGAAATTCACTTAAAAACCCATTCTCTTTAATCTTTCATAACTTCTTAATCTTTTGATTTTAAGACAACCTAAGCTTTCCTTAAGCTTAAGTATCACCTAAGGATCAAAACTCATACTTAAACTCAACAAACAATCAAGTAATCAGAAAACTCACCTTTTCTCCCTTGGTTCACGGTGGAGAAGAAGAAAGCAAGAAAAAGAAGAGAGTTTTCAGATAACTCTCCCCCCACGTGATTCATTCTTATCAAGGGGGGAAATATCTTTCTTGACAAATGACCATTTTCCTTTAATTCCTTTGATAATTACAAACAACTTTCAAGAAATATTTCCAAATAAATCATTGAACTATTTACTTTAATCACCAGATTCTGAAACTTTACAATTTAGTTACTAACCCGATATTGAGGATGTTACGGTCTTCCAATAAGATTCGCTCTAATACCAATTGTTGAGTCAATGAAGAGGATGAAATAGCCAAGTGGGGGTGAATTGACAATTAATATTTTGGTGAAAGCTTGAAATAAAAATAGAATGCGTTTGTACAATTCAACAAATAATAAAAATGAATACAAAAGTGTTATTTGAAAGCAAAAAGAATGTTAAAAAACGTTGACTTTGATTTTGGCTCAATTTTTATTGCTTGGGCTTTCTTTTTTTGTTTATTGTCTTCACATATGGCTTGAAATATTGTTTTTATATCATCTCATTTAATTCTAGTCATTTGGGTTGTTGTGGGAGTTAATATAGCCGTTGGGATAATGTTTCCCGTAATAAATGCTGCCCAGACGCCTTGAGTATCGATATTCGGGCTTGGAGTATCGATAATGCCTGCATTAATTACAAAATTGGAAGAGAGGAGTATCGGTACTATAGTAAGAGTATCAGTACTAAAATGGTATACTAGAATCGAATTTTGTCAAAAACACAAAGAGAGTATAGGTACTCCCATTTAAAGAATCGGTATTACATGAACATCAATATTGTTCTTACAGTATCGATATTGTCGGGTTTAAAACCAATTTTTGACTCTATTGAGGTTCGAAACCCTTTATAAAATTGTTTGAAAATTATTTCCGTATATGACTTTAATTTTCAAATGAGTAAGGAGTAAAAATTAAGATTTTGACCTTGAAAAAGATTTTAATATTCGATCGATTTAATCGAATATAAACTTGAAAATCGAATCGAAAAATCTTAAAATTTCTTTTAAAATATTTATTTTGGGTATATCAAAATACAAAGCATGGTTCAACATAAATTACAACTTTTTTCATCCTTATCCTGCGGCAAAGATAGAAGGCATGCAAAATAAATAAATAGCCTCAGATTATTTGTAGAGCAACAAGAGCAAGAAAATACAATGAAAGCCAAAATTAGGGTGTTAAAACCCACCAAAGCTAATGTTTAAATAATAAAAATAAAATAAACCTTAATCCCAAACTTTAATCTTAACTCCAACTTCAAACCTTTTCATTTCATATGTATTCTTCTCTTTCTTGTGTTTTGAAGGAATAAAGTTTTGGGAGATTGAGAAAGAATAAGAGAATAAAGATTTTGGTGGGGGAAGGGATCATTAGAAGGAGGATTTCATCTCCAACGTTAGTATTTTCAATCTAGTTCCATTATCCAAAAGAAGGAAGGAAGGAAGGAATGTTGTTGGATTTTTTCAAGTTAAAGAGAGATGTAGAGGGAGAATGAGATGAAGAAGAGAAAGAGAAAGAACAAAAGTGGGAGGAGTGGGAGGATTTTAATTATTTTTTATTTGTTTTTAATAATTAAAATATATATTTAATCCACATCATAATGTCGTTATAAAGCTAACGGTGAAGTAACAAAAAAAAAGTTCAATGTCTAAAATTTAATGAACAAATTGAAAAAATTAAAAATATGGTTAAAAATATGGTAAGTGAAATAAGAGAGAAATAAAGTTAAGTGTGTAAGCTTGTAGTTTACCCTGATTCAAAAGAAAGAAAAAAAAAAACTCCTCCAAATAGATCTGCTGGTTTATCGCATAAGAAAAAACAATTCCTCAGTTCAAAGCTTCACGACGGACAGTCCTTCTAGGTCAGCCTTTTTTCTAATTCGAAAGAATTTAATCTTTAAAAGCATTTTTCTCAAGGAGCTCGACTCATATTTCTTTAGGCATTCAATCATATTAATAGATTCTTTATTTTCAATTATTTATGCTTTGTAAATCTGGTGTTCTGTTTGTTCCGGATTTGGATTTCAGAGTTTTTTTCCATTTCTATGAACAGTAAGTTATTGATTCATCGGTGAGAAAGCTGAGGTGGAAGTTTTGATTGAGTATTTGTTGCATTAATTATATATACATCTGTTCCAAAATTCTGGGCATGAAAACAGTTGTTGCATTTTTCTTGAACAAGCATAGATTGAGAAACATTGGGTTGTTTTTGTTTTTTTTTTTTGGTTGTTCATGGTCATTAGTGGTTATATCTGGTGATTTACTGCTAGTGGTGCTTAAATTGATGGAGTGTTTAATTCAAGCATTGAGTTTATCAGCGTTTACTTATAACTATGATGCTTTTTGGGAAAATGAATCTTTGTGCTTAAGTTGACTGAGTTGTTCTCTTATGATGTTGGATATGAAGCTCATATTGAATGGAGGGAATCGGAGGTGACGGTACACCGGCGTCCTCACCTTTGCCTTATTGGGGGAATGATACTTGGAGGATGTATCGGTATTATCTAGATAAAACTACTCCTCATATGACTTATAGATGGATTGGAACCATTGTTATAGCAGCTATCTACTGTCTGCGGGTCTATTCTGTTCAAGGATTTTACATAGTTTCATATGGCCTTGGGATCTACCTGCTGAATTTGCTTATCGGGTTTTTGTCTCCTCTGGTTGATCCTGAACTTGAAGTCTCTGATGGACCACTACTGCCAACGAAAGGTTCAGATGAGTTCAAGCCGTTTATTCGTAGGCTACCTGAGTTCAAGTTCTGGTAATTGAAACTTTTAGATTGCTTCTCATCTATAATGATGCTTTATAGGCAATTTATCGGTGGTGGTACTCCGTTATGTGTTCTATGCTGAAATCTTTGTGATATGTTAAGGAAACAACTTACCTAAATGCATTATCTGTTTGTTCTGATTGATGTGACAGGATATGTAGGAACATGTGATGCCTGCTAAATATTGTAGTCTTTTATGCCTTTGCATTATCACTGATGAAACTTGAGAAACAACAGTGCATGATTTAAGAGTTTAACCTAAGATGGCTTACTTTGTTGAGTATGATTTTAGTAAGCTTGTATTTAATTGAAATTAAGATGCTAGTTATTAGTTGCTGTTTGATTTTTTAAAGCTCCTCATGGAGTTAAAAAAAGTTTATAAAGAAAGCTTTGGCATGTAACTTTTTTCTTTCTCAACTTAGTGCAGTGTAAGATTGCATAAAATTTTCTTAGGCATAAAACTTATTTTCAAGTTTTAGACCATTTGTCATTCTACCTGGTGTCTCTCTTGCATGATGTGACAAGCATTTCACTTACAAGTAGCGACGTAAGTGGATTTTATGCTAGGGTGGCGAACTTCTAAAATTTTAGGGAGGCAAAAGCAGATTATCGTTGCCCCCCTCGGTCCATCCCTGCTTACAGCCAACAATAGGCAGTATTTTACTTTCTAGTTTCTGATTCTCAGAATGTTGGAGAAAATGCTTGAAATATGTCAATTTCATTAGCCATTACCTTGTTATTCACTAATTCTCATGCATTTCACTACTTTAGAATATAGAACACACAGTCTCACACACACACTCACGCATATATCCAAAAAAATCACAGCTTAGAAAAGTATTTCCACTCATGGCATAGAAATGCTAGTTGTGAAAGGAACTGTGTCATTACTTGCCTTAATCATCTTTATCCATTTGGGTGTTTGTTGTCTAGCATGAGATCCATATGAATCTGTGTACAAAATGCCTGTTTCATAATTTTGCAGGTACTCAATGACAAAGGCTTTTTGCATAGCGTTCGTTATGACTTTCTTTTCCTTATTTGACGTTCCTGTCTTTTGGCCTATATTACTTTGTTACTGGATTGTTCTTTTTTCCCTTACAATGAGACGCCAAATCGCACACATGATCAAGTACAAGTATCTCCCCTTTAACATTGGGAAGAAGGTGAGCTTCAAATGAACTAACCAGGTCCTTATTTGCAGTTTTATCCGCTTGAAAGATGACAATCTTTATCATCTTCCATATTTGACAGAAATACAGTGGTAAGAAAGCTTCTGCAAGTAGCAGTGGTTTCCGTGGGGATTAAAGCTTCTGCAAGTAGCAGTGGCTCCAGTGGGGATTAAAGCTTCTGCAAGTAGCAGTGGCTCCCGTGGGGATTAGAGCTTGCGTCGGGTGGTTTGCTGGGAAAGTAGCAGTGGATTTTGTGGGAAGGAAAAAAAATTAGCATTATTGGTGACATAAAATTGTTGTTTATACATGTTGGTGAAGAATTGATACAAAAGCTTTTTGAGATTGAGCCTATTTGCAAGTAATTTTGTATAACACAGTATTGTTTCATTCATGTCATCTATATTTGTAGAAGCTAATTAATCGCCAGTGACAATATTGAATTAAACAGTATTGTTTCATTCATGTGATCTTCTATATTATAGAAGCTAATTAATCGCCAGTGACGATATTGAATTTCGGGTAAAGTACACGTAGAGTACCCAACTATCACATATAACGTTAGGTATTATTTTAAAAAGAATAGTTGAGATATCAAAATGAAACTGATAATTAAGGTACTTTAAAAAGAATAGTTGAGATATCAAAATGAAACTGATAATTAAGGTACTAAACGTGTAATCTACCCTTGAATATCTTATAGAAGCCATCATTGGCAGATTGTGAGTGTAATTTTTCATTATCTTTTTGTTCTTTAAAAAATAAATTATTTAATGACATACTTTGTAACATTAAATCAAATTTTCTTTAACATTAACGTGATTATTCTAATTCTGTTAGTTAAATCAATTGTGTTAGTTAAATAAATTACAGGTGGTGGTGATTAAGAAAATGCAAATAAAGAAATATTGACAATTTCTGTGAAAAAAGAGTTGATTTTAATAAAAATTATAACAAAGACATCAGTACAGGAAGTTTAATGTCTAGTTTCTGGTGAACGTGTACCTGGATTATCAGCCCTGAATCTTATGGCCGTCCAACCGCCTGTCAGTATTCCAGCCTAGTTTCTGTCGGAAGGATCGACAAGTTATATTCCGTAGGATCTTTGGCCGGATGAAGTTCCCGATTCCGGTCCCCACACGGAAGAAATTGTAGCCATGAAGGTGGAGTGGATGGGATTCAACAGTTAAGATTGGCATCCTGTAGTACTAACTCCACCATGGAGTTGAAAGCAATCTTGCTTAGCCTGACGCCTAAAGTAGTACCAAGATTGGCAGTCAAAGGTGCGCCAGTGTAATTGAACGGTTTCGGAGGGGGGTCAAAATTAAATCGAGTCGATAATTTATTGATATTGAAGATATTTTACCCTTTATTTTTTAACTTCTATAGTGGGAACCGATGGAGTGAATATTTTATGAAAATTGATAGCTTTAGTAATGTAGTGAAAAATTAACTTACACAATCACAAGTGATCATGGGTGACAGGCATATAAACTCATAACATTAATCAAATGTGGCACAAAAATGGCTGAAAATCTCGTACCTGTGAAAATCAAATGTAGGGAAGCTTACTAATTCGGGATTGTGCATGGTTAGAGATATTAATCTACTTATTCCATGCCTTTTTTTCTCAGTAATCACACATTATTAGGCCCCTAATCCACACAAATAAGATATGTTAGAAACACTATCTATGTTAGCCCATGGGAAATACGGAGGACTTATTTAGCAAAAGGATAATGAAGCACGGGGAAAATGTTTTATTACAGTAGTCGTCTTCGAAAGTTACGGGTAGTGCCTTGGTAGGTACGTACCAGCAAACCTACTCCTAAGCCAATTCCGACACAGATGCTGAGGCTGATTCCGACACCCACCCTCACGCCCGCATTGAACCATGACAACTCCCCGTCTTCGCCCTCAAAATAATCCACCCCTGAATACACATAGCTGTGCTCTTCACCTTCTGATTTATGACTCAAGTAATCTGGTATCTGTGAGAAAAGAGAGAAAGAAGGTCACGAGGCGGGAATAGAGAACGTGACTGCAGATGCTATACTTGATTTGAAGCTCTAGATATAAACCAGAATGTTCGGGAATTGTATAAATAGCACAAAGAATTACTGACACAGGTAATGAGATAAATGTATGCAACCGTATTACCAGTGTCATTCGCAGCTTAGTTTGAGCATTACCATTAGAAGTAAAAGTATGTACCTATCATCAAGGTGCCTATTTAAACGCTAGACTGATTCTTAGTCATGAGTTTGGTTAGACAATGAACAGTTTAGGGAAAACTTTGTAGCATACGACGTATGGCTAGGTTAACATATCGGTTGCACAGTGAAGGGGAAACCAGTCAGATTTCTTTTCGAAGAGCATGAAATTCAAATGTTAACAAATACCTGCAAAGGGGTAACTTCTTTCTGATCTTCAGCTGCCTCGTACTCTGGTATCGAATCCAGCATCCCTTTCATTTGTTTCTTCCGGAAACTAGGCTGTAAAGTTCTGGTTAATATAATAGGGCTGCCTGAGAATGACCCAGCAACATAGACCTCAACTGTGGGTGAAGCTGAACCTGGACTGTGATATTGTTTGGCCTTGAGAAAACCGGAGCCTGAAGTTATAACTGATTCGCATTTCATGCTCCACATCGAACCACTAACTCTACACTCCTCGGTGCAACCGTTACTGTCACACAACTCTAAATCCCCTGATAGCAGAAGACCATCCTTATAGAAAACCTCAAATTTCACACTCCCTGTCAGCTTAATGCTATCGGTGCTCACAAAAGTGACTTCTTCAGATTTTTTGTCTAGCCGATCCCTTCTAAGAAGGGTTGATGCACCATCAGAACAGATGCCGATTCGAACACCATTTACTTCAAGAAGTGTATCGGGATTCAATGGAATGGGGTTTAGAGTGAGGTACGTAGGAGTAGATTCATCATCAGTCTCACACTTGCTTACTCTGACATAGAAGACTCTCACATCGAGCCATCGTAAAGATCCCTTA